TCAGCCTTTCCAACCTCTGCCCAGAGCCCGCGGCCACAGGACAGGGCTCTCGCTCTCAGCTGCTGGCTCCACCAGCCCACCAGGGCACCCAGGTCAGAGCCAAGGGGCTCTACTTCTGAGGATTTTGTTTTTCTGCCCCAACCCCACCCCATCTTAAGAAAGGTTGAACTCGGAGTTTAAAAGGCCTTCCCTTACAGGAAATGAAGAGCTGTTGCCAGGACCGCCCAGCCAAGAAAATATGAACAACATGCCTTGCTCTGCCGCCGAACTCCCAACTCTCAGCGCCTCCAGGGAGGGCAGGGAGACGACCACGGCCCGGGCCCTCCCAGGCATGTTCTCGGCCGGCTTCCCCCAGCGTGTGGGAAGTCCCTGGCTGTGGTCGCACCCACATAAAATGTCCTGGCTCCCATGTCCATAAATTGACTCCATCCAAGGGGTGGAGAGGCAGGGAGTAGTGATCTGGAGAGGGCACGGGGCTCCAGATCAGCCTTGCAACCCATTGGCTGTGTGACTCGGGGTAAGTCTGTCCACCTCTCTGGGCCTTGGTTTCTCATCTATGCAATGAGAGGGTTGGGTTTCTGGACTTCAAAGGTTTCTTCCCTCTAATTCTAATTTCTGAGAAAGGAAATGGAAAAGTTTATCAATATAACTGGAATCTCAGAGCCCAACAGCTGAGATCGCTAATCCTCTCCTTCAATTTCTGCTCCTCTCCTTCCTAAAAGAGAGGAGAACCCAGGGAAATTAGTGCGATGTCTCTTTGAAACCATTCTACTCTTTCCCCAGGCCTCCAGGTCAAGGTGAAGACTGATGAAAGCCTTAGACTGCAAAGGCTGATGTTTTCCTTGCAGATCCAGATGCCAACTTGGGTCATCATCTCTCGCTACACTATTGGCATGAGTCCTTTTCAAAGGCCTAACATTGACTGCCCCTACTTTTGGGGGCCAGGTGGACTGTCCTGAAATTTAAGTAATAGGTGCCCTTGATGGGGCCTGGCACTTCTTCATCAGCCCCAGTTTTAACTTCAAGAATGACTGGATCGAATGAATTGGCAAACATGTACTGAGTAACTACTAACTACAAATATATATGCTAGAGGCAGGGGGCTAGCAAAGACTATGAAACAGCTCCTACTGTGAGTAAGGGCAGAGGAGACTGTGGGGCTCGAGTTTTCTCTTGCCTTTACTGTATCCTGATTATTGTCAATTCCCAGGTGGTATCCCCTAGACTGGGGCTGTCTAGGTGGCCACATTTTCTAGCTGGGTAGCTCAGCCAGGACAAGATTTCCTCAGAGAGGGGTTGCCAAACCAAGAAATTTACTTCTGCAAATGATAACAGCCAGCTAGTACAGATGGTATGAAAACTTCTGGGAGCAAGCCCCACAGTCTGGGAAGAACATCCTTTGTGATAAAGTGACACAGCATCAGAAAAAGCTAATGAGAGATGTGTTAGATGTTCATTGCTGTGTACTTACTTCAACCTTGGTGGTTAAAGCAATATACATTTATTACCTCATGGATTCTGTGGGTCAATAATCTAGGCTCAGGGAATGCATCATTTCCTAGGATAAAGATTCTTAGGGTGCATGAATCCCTTGGAAGTGCAAAAGTACATGGGAGAGCATTTGTACAATTTCTTAGAAGGCCAATAGCTTTCAAACGATTCTTCCAAGGGTCCAGGTGACAAATAGGAATCACTGGCCTCAGGCTGGATGGAGGTGGAAGGGTGGGAAAGTGTGTCCTGTGAAGCCCCTCGAAGCCTCTTTTACACCTCTTCCCTCGGGCCCCTGTCCCCAAGTCATGGGAGGAGAGTGGCTTCGCCCAGCTCCATCCCGAGCCCCCTCCAATTCCCGACCCATTCTACTCTCGGCTCTATTGTTCCCACTGTGGTGTGGAGCCGGGTTGCCTGCAGCTCCCCGCAGAGCAGTGCTCTGACCACAGCCTGGAACCCCTGCTAAGACCCTGCCCAGTACCTTCCCCACTGGGACCATGCTGTCCCTTGAGACTCCCCAGGCAGGAGGTTGCCCCACTTCCTGATGCTGTCACTTGCTCTCACCATTAACTGGGAACCCAGACTCCTGGTTTTGAGAGCCCCCAACTTGTGGGGGTGACCCACAAGTAGATAACCACAGTCCTGGACACCTGAGGACAGTCTTGGTTTAAGCTTGTGTTTGGGAGTGGTTGCTGAGTGTCAGTTTTGTTCTCAAAACTATCCTTGTTGGTAAGACACTTAAATGGCCCCTTGCCTAAAGGGGCTCAGACAGTAAAGAATCTGCCTGCAATGCAGGAGACCCAGGTTCCATCCCTGGGTCAGGAAGATCCCCTGGAGAAAGGAATGCCTACCACTCCAGTATTCTTGCCTGGAGAATCCCCACGGACAGAGGAGCTTGGAGGGCTACAGTTTATGGGATCACAAAGAATCAGACATGACTGAATGACTAACACACACTTTTGCCTACAGGGAGAAGGGACTCCAGCCTTCCCGCGGGCAGGATGGCTGGGACGGCCTTCCTGGCGCTGTGTGAAGACCCCACACCTGGGATGTTGTCATCCCTCAAGGTTCAGGTGCCCCAGCCTCACCTCCTGCATCATTCATCCTCAGCGAGGAGACTTCCCAGGCCACTCCCTAAGATCTCTTTGAGAGCAGTGGTGAAATCTGCAGACAGGGCAGCCTTCCTTCTCCTCCTCACCCTGAAAAACCCCAGTTCCTCACATCTCATTTTTACCCTTCACCAGCTCCTCATCCTTTCTGCTTCCTACCATCCCACACCGCAGGCTCTCCACTTTATGTAGCGAGCTCCTTCCAGTAGTCATGTATGGATGTGAGAGTTGGACTGTAAAGAAAGTTGAACACCGAACAATTGATGCTTTTGAGCTGTGGTGCTGGAGAAGACTCTTGAGAGTCAGTTAGACTGCAAGGAGATCAAACCAGTCAGTCCTAAAGGAAATCAGGCCTGAATATTCATTGGAAGGACTGATGCTGAAGCATCAGCATGCAAAAAGCTAATTCACTGGAAAAGACCCTGATGCTGGGAAAGATTGAGGGCAAGAAGAGAAGGGGATGACAGAGGATGAGATGGTAAGATGGCATCACCCGACTCACTGGATGTGTTTCAGCAAGCTCCAGGAGATGGTGAAGGACAGGGAAGCCTGGCATGCTGCAGTCCATGGGGTCGCAAAGAGTCAGACACAACTAAGCATCTGAACGACAACAAAGCTAGCACCTATATAAAGTAGGAGGTGCTCCAGAAATGATTCTTTTTGAAAAGTCATTTTTGAATGAATGAAGTGTTGGTAAAATTATGCTAAATCTGCCAACGCATCGCCCTGGGCATGGGCCCTGCAGAGCCCAGCTTCTAGGCATAGGCAACCCTGGATAACACCCTCCTCAGAAGATTAGCACTGAGGGTGGTGGATCCCACTGAAACCTGCCCTGCGGGATGCAGGCAAGAGGGTGGCAAGCCAGAGGGAAGGGGCCCTTCATCTGTCCCCAGAGCCCTTGCCCCAGAGAACCCTGCCCCTTTGCCTGGCTGTTAAACTAAAGTACCTTTTTGTTCAGAACCCTGTCTACCTGTTGATGGTAGGAAAGAAGAAATTAACACATCCCCTGACTGAGGTTTGCCATTCATTCTAAGAGATGTTTGCAAGATTAACGGTCTTCCTCACCTCCTGCCATCTTTGATCTAGAAAAGAACCGGTATGCTGACCCTGGTAAGATGCTTATCTTGAGGCTCTAGCCTGCCATCTTCTTGGTCAGCTGGCATTCCAGATAAAGTCTCTTCCTCACCTCAACACCTCATCTGTTGGATTCATTGGTCTGTTGGACAATGAGCAAAGTGAGCATGGACTCAGTAACAGGTCCATAAAGGCAATAGAATATTATTTACTTAACGGCAGAATTTTTGGAGTCAGGTTGAATCATTTTCAGATCTCAGTTCTGTGTCCTCTTGGGTGAGTTATTAATATTTAATCTCCATCCCATTTTTGAAATACAGATCTTGCCGTCTACCCTGCAGGATTACGAGGAGGGCCCATCAGGGTGACGGCTGTGAAACAAAGCGCAGTACCTGACGCATGGGGACATCCCGTAAACAGAGCCAGGGACCATCCCTGAGAACTGAAGTTCCCTCGCCCGGTGAGAGGATGACTCTGGCCAGGCCACATCGCTCTGTGGTCCACGATGGTGGTTGCTAAACTTGGCTATGTTTAAGAATCACCATGGGAATGTTTTAAAACTACAGATTCCAAGCCCCACCTCAAACCTGTGGCTGTTGTTGTTTAGTAACCCAGTCATGTCTGACTCTTGCAACCCCATGGACTGTAGCCCACCAGGCTCCTCTGTCCATGGGATTTCCCAGGCAAGAATACCGGAGTGGGTTACCATTCCCTCCTCCAGGGGTTCATCCCGACCTAGAGGTAGAACCCGTGCTTCCTGTTTGCCAGGTAGATTCTTTACCACTCAGCCACCAGGGAAGCCCCCACCTCAAACCTACTGAACCAGAAACCCCAGGGTTGGGGCTTGGGAGTTTGCATGTTTAGAAGTCTCCAGTTTTGCAATCTATGACTCAGGGCTTCCCTGGTAGCTCAGCTGGTAAAGAATCCTCCTGCAATGCAGAAGACCCCAGTTCCATTCCTGGGTTAGGAAGACCCGCTGGAGAAGGGATGGGCTACCCACTCCAGTATTCTTGTGCTTTCCTGGTGCCTCAGCTGGTAAAGAATCCACCTGCAATGCAGAAAACCTGGGTTCGATCCCTGGGTTGGAAAGAGTCCCCTGAAGAAGGGAACGTTTACCCACTCCAGCATTCTGCTCTGGAGAATTCCATGGACTGTATATTCCATGGGGTCACAAAGAGTCAGACACGACTGAGCGACTTTCACATTCCTCCTCAAATCCAGGCACCCCACCCACCTTCCATTCTCCAGTGCTCCAGGGCTGGGATGAACCCTAGCCTGTGCCCTGGGCCCAGCCCTTCTTCTCACACCGACCCTCCCTGACCCTCTCAGGCCAAGCATCCCCAAGCTGCGGTGGGTCCCTTCGGAGGCAGGGGCTGCTCTCCTAAAGCTCCTGGTGAAAGGCAAGATGGACAGGAGAGGTCAGAGTTCACACAAGCTGGGCTGCCTTCTATTTCATTTGCAAGTGGCAGTCACCTCGTTAAGCCCAGGCCCCTCCACCCACCCTCCTCACCCCACGGCTCCCCCAGCACGCCCGTGCCCCCCTCCCTTCAGCCCTGGCCCGTGGGCAACACAGACACAGACAGAGACAGCCTGGAGAACAGTGGTCCTGAGGCAGACAGGTGGCCCCCTGCAGGTGCCACCCACACCCAGGTCTCGAACTAGCCCCATGCCTGGGGTAGAGAAGATGCTCAAAACAAGTTTGTTAGACTCAGGCATTTATAAATGCAGAAACTGCGGGCTGAAGGCAGGAGCGGCCTGCATTTGGCAGTCGGCCCAGATGCCTTCAGGCAGTATCCTAGGAGAGGTGGGCGTGGAGGAGAAAGGCCACCCCAGCAAGGCCGGCAATTTGCTGTGTGTCCTGGGCCGACTGTTTGCCTCTCTGATCTGCGGTTCCCTCTTCTGTTGTACCACGCTGTTTTCGGTCAACCCTCCCTCCCCCAGCCCACGGAGGGCAGAGTCTGAAAGGGACGCACAGAGGGGGCTGTGAGACAGTATAGGATCACCTGGGGACGGATGCTGTGACCAGTCGTGCCCCCTCTGTCCTTTTAGTCTTCAAGCCCGTCTTTAGAGTCAGAGCTCGGTGTTCCCGCCAGGAACCAGACGCATAGCACCCCCTCCTCCCCTTTCCTTCTCATCTCCCCTTCACAACAGAAAAGACCCCTCCATGAGTGGGGTCTGAGGACACAGTGTTGGGCTGAGGACTTACAGGATCAGCCCCTCTGGAAAGGAGGTGCTGGGACGGGTCTGGAGACCTTAACCCTGGCAGGCACCTGAGCACTCAGATTGTTTGCCGGGGGAGCAGGGGGACACTTTCAGAGGTTAAAGCCCACTGCCCACTCCCCCACCATGGGGCTGGCTTCCCAGCACCTAGAGGAGGGTCCAGGGTCTCCTGGTCTCCGTGAGGAGGTTGGGGGACAAGTCTCCTGCTGGTCAGGGGCAGGGGTGGGGGGGGAGCCCACAGAGAGGATGTGGCTGAAGTTGCGGGTGGGGGAGAGGAGGGACTTCACACAAGCGAAGGCCATCAGGACAGAGAAGAAGAGGGAGAGGCGGAGAGAGAGAAGGGGAGAGGCGGGTCTGCCCAGCAAGGAGAAGGTTCCAGAGAGGGACCAACCAAAGGGTGGATGCAAACAGAGCCCAAGGGTGAGAGAGACAGAGACAAAGCGAGACAGACGCAGAGAGAGAGAGTAAGAGGAGGAGGGAGACAGAGGCCGCAGCGGAAACGATGGCAGACGCAGGGAAACGGACACAGGGCAGCCGGTCACACTTTGGAGCCTGACTTTGGCATGAGAATTCTTGGCCTCCGTGCTGGGTCGGGACCCAGGCGTGTGCCTGTCAGTGGATGCCTTCCTCTCCCGCCTTCCCGCCTGGAACCCTGGAGACCTCTGCAACCCTCCCCAGCCTCTCTGTGCAGCTCCAGGGGCAACCAGAGACCCCGGGGTCTGGCCAGCTGGCGGCTGGTGCAGGAGGGGGAGGCTGGGAGCAGAGCCCCTGGAGATCACAGCAAGGACCCTGAGAACCACCAGTCAGACGGACCTTCCCAGGCTCCTTCCAGGCCCACGTGGGACACAGCAGGGCTGAGTAGGGTCCTCCCCAAAAAGAGACAAGGACAGGGCATCTCTAGGGGGGGGTTTGAGACTGAGAGGCAGCCTGTCAAAGCTGCCAGTGTCCCCCAAGCCCAGGCCTGGAGCCCACCCTGGTTGATTTTAGGGCCGGCCAGAAGGAGGGGGAGAACAACAGCAGGAATGAGTCACCTTTCTTTGGAAAATGTGAGACAGAGGAGGCAGACTGCAGTCCAGTGGCGACTTTCCTGCTGAGCCCATGGCCATGCCCGGCTAACAAGCCAGCACATCAGAGCGATGCTGTCGGCCTCTGTCGCCCGTCCCCGCCTGCAACTGCAGTTACCCAGACTCGTGGTTTAGGGATGAGCTGGGATGGGGCTCAGGACCTAGAACCTCCATCCCCGGAATGTCCTTACCAGGCAGAAATGCAAGCCCAGTAAGGTCCCTGCTCATGTAGGGTTGCCGAGCCACGGGGACCAGGAGATCTTGGGGACCGCGAGGAGGCTAGTTCCCAGGTGCTTTCTGCTCCTCTCTGGTGGGGGCCCGGCTCCCACAGAGGCTCAGCTTCCTCCCAGGACAGACCCACGTGGGGATCTGTGGGTTGCCCCCAGGAAGATGACCCCACCGTTCACAGGCTTCCCAACTTCAGCTCCAGGAGCTGGCAGGCTGGTTGGCATCGCCCAGTACAGTGTTGAGAAGCGAGGCCGGGAGGGCAGGCGCTGGACAACGGCCAAGACAGTCACTGTCACCTGCTTCTCCTTGAAGCTCGTCCCCATCTTCATCCCTGCAGGACAAGCTCCCTGGAGAAGATGAGAGCCTGGTCCCAAGCGGGTGCCAAGGTAGTGGTGAAGTGGGACCCCGTGTGCCGAGTCTAGGTGTGGGAGGCAGGTCAGGGGCAGAGTCCCCTGCAAGAAGCCGTCCATAGCCAGGGCCGGTCAGGGATGCACAGAAGTTGCTCTGTTCCCACCTGCACCGCCCCCCTCGGGCCCTGGACAGCACTCTCCTAGTCCTGTCTTTCCCAGGGGTCCTGAGCTGCCTGCCTTATCAGCGCTGGCTGGGACTCGACCCCAGCACTGACAGCTCTTGTCATAGCCCGTCAGGCCTCATTCTTACTGCGGAGGTGAGGACAGCTTAATTCCCTGACCCAGACACAGGGCAGCAGGCCGTGTAGGGTGGGGGAGGCCACTGACAACCCCTGTTCTTCCCTCCCTCAAAGGAGGGCGTGAGAGACAAAGCTGCCAGTGTCCCCCACGCCCGGGGTGCCCTCCTACCTGCTCTAACTCCCCTTCTGTCTCCTGTACCAAACAGCACCCCTGATGGCAGCTAAACTGCCCAGGGATGAGTGATGTCGGACGTTGAGTGAACCTGCTCAGAGGATGGGAAGGAAAGAACGCTTTTGATAGAGCAACCTCACCCCTCCTCCTCTGATCCCAGGAAGGATTTGATGCTGGATCTTATGGGTTCCTTTGGCCCTGGCATCTTGGGCTTCTGACCTTCAAATCAGGAACCCAAGAGTCCTGGCTTCATATCACACCTACAAATCAGCTGCACACCTCTCAAGGGATCCACAGCCCTTCGGGGACTGCCCGTGACACTGTGCTCTCCCTCGAATCTACCCAATTCCTGGCCAGGGGCAGGGGAGGGGGCTTGGCTGGGGGTGACCGCCATGTCCTCCACTCCCAACATGGTCTCCAGCTCCATCTTTGGACTCCGCGTTCTTGCCTGGGGAATCCCATGGACAGAGGAGCCTGGCGGGCTACCGTCCATGGGGTCGCAGATTTGGACACGAAGTGACTTAGCACGCATGCGTGCAAATAAGTTAACTCATGCAAGAGGCTCTGTGCAGGCCACAGGCGTGGCGTTGCAGGTACTCAGGCTCCAGGACCTCCGAGCAGGAGAGGCAGAGACAAAGGTCAGCCTCAGGTGTGTGACCACAGGCCTTCTGCCTACTCGCTCTCTCTCTCTCTGGCTTTTCTTCTCTAGGCCAGTGAAGGAGGACAGGGGAAAATCTGGTTTATGAGTCCAGAAGAAAATTAAAAAAAAAACAGGGGAACTTCTGGAAAATTCTGTAACTTTAGACAGGAAAAAGGCCAGACTCTCCGACTGGGCCAGAATGAACTGGCAGCCGTTCAGGCCTGGCTGTAGGAGGTGTGTGTGTGTGTGTGTGTGTGTGTGTGTGTGTAACTTGGGCCACATCCAGGGGAACCCATGGCTCTCTCCCTCCGTCTGTCCATCTGTCCTCCATCTCACTCCCTCCCTGTTCTCCCATCTCCTCCCCCGACCAGTGAGCATGGGAACTACCTTTCAGGAGGTGCAGGGCCAGGCTGGGCATGGCCTGCGAGGAGTGTAGCTGAAGGCAGAGGCCTGTCCCAGCCCTGCGGTTCCTGGTTCCGAAGGGAAGGTTCTCTCCTCTGACTCTCAGATCCCATGGTTCCTGTAAGAAGCAGTCACCACCTGCCCCTTAGAATCAGGCGGGTTTGGTCCCCACCCCAGGGTCTCCCTGCTTCGTCCCCCGCCCTCCCACTCCCTCACTCCCCGTCGGGAAGGGTGTGCAGATATGTGATGATGGGTCCACAATTGGGGCACGGGCTGGAGGAGTGGGACCAGGAGCCCAGGGCAGCCCAGAGGCTCAGGCGGAGACATGGCCCCAGAACAGGGAGACAGGAAAGGGGTGATGAAGGCAAGCTGGCGTCACCGTGGAAGCCTAGTTGGGAGAGGAGATTGCTGCCTGCAGCCCGGGCCTGGCCCTCACCTCCTGCTCCCATTCTGACCCTGTTGCTCACATCAAAGTGGGGACCCGTCCCCTCGCTCGCTCACTGAATGGTCCAGGTCATGGCTCCTGGCTGCTTGAAGCTGCTGATGGACAGATGGTAATAGCTCCCAGAGTGTTGAGAGACGGGCTCCGGGTTAGCACAACCCCCGCCCACAATCAGAGCTGGTGCTCAGGGCTCCCTGCCCCCCACTCCTGCATCCACTCTTGCCCCAGGACAGACGGGTCAGCAGGTGTTGGGGAACGGGGGTTAGGGGGTCTGCTCTGATGCTGGGGTTCAGGGCCCACAGGTGCAGGTGGGAGGTGTGGAAGAGGCAGGAGCCTGAGAACTCTGAAACCCATTTCAGAAAGGCTATGGGGAGTAGTGGGGGGCAGGGAAGAAAGGAGGGGCAGCTCTCTGCCATTTTTATTTCCCATCATTTATCAAATTGAATTTTATCGGCTTGCTTTTATTAGTCAAAATCATACATATCACTCAGTGCTTCCGATTAACATAGAGATTGCAATTTTCTACTACGATGCACTGGGTCAAAATAAAAGCAGCCAACTGCTAAGTGTGGTTGACATTTCAGCCGAGCTCTGCAACCACGTGGTGGGTAAATGAATATTTCCATTAGGCCTTTTATTTTAAACAGTGAAAAATTGAGAGCAGCCATGTCTCATAAATGAAGGGAGCATGCCTAATATGGAAGGGGTCCCGTTAACAGAATTCACAGGTAAATTCAGCTGTCTCTAGGCGATCCGGGCCCTTCAGCCCTGTGTACAGTTGGGAAGCCTGGGGGTGGTGGGGTGAGGAAGTAGCAAGACCCCTCCCGGGTAGGTTTAGGGAACTCAGAACTGCTCATACTTCGAGAGGACAGTGAGTCAGAGCAGAAAGTGTTTATTCCCGAAAGGAAGGTGGGCCTTTCAGATTCCTACTCTTTCACTTCTCTCTCTCGCCTCTCCCCTGGTGCTGCAGGTGGGGCCCCATAACACAGACCGGAGACTGATAAGGCAGTGCTCCCACTGTAGGGCTGGGAGGCACTGTGTGTCCCACCTAAGATGTACTCCTATCTGAGTGTCGTCATTAGGCTTTTCCATAACTGAGAGCAGCTCGATTATACTTTCTGCATGTCTGTAGTGAACTTGTAGTCCTCTTAACTGAGTGTTTATGAGTCTTGTTCTAGGACTCACGTAGGGAGCCTAAACCATGACCTCCCTTCACTATCTCACTCTCCACCTGAAAACAGAAAAATTTAAATAAAAGACCCGAGATTTAAAACGCTGGGGAAGCCAATGTCAAGAGTATCTGGAGGTTAGAGGAAAACAGGGAAACGCTGTTGTGGAAGATGCTTGATTAAAACCTGTTCCCGCTTTCAGGCCAGAGAGAGAAAATAAATTTGGGAGACTGCTGCCATCTGGTGGTAGAATGAGAAATTGCTATTACTTCTCATTTTGCTTCTTTCATATTAAGACTGTAATAAAACTAAATCTTACCCGACAAAATTAACTATAAATTCTAAAGGAAATCAGTAATGAATATTCATTTGAAGGACTGATGCTGAAGCTGACACTCCAACACTTTGGCCATGTGATGCGAAGAACTGACTCATTTGAAAAGACCCTGATGCTGGGAAAGACTGAAGGTGGGAGAAGGGGACCACAGAGGATGAGATGGTTGGATGGCATCACCAGCTCGATGGACATGAGTCTAAGTAAGCTCTGGGAGTTGGTGATGGACAGGGAAGCCTAGGTGTGCTGCAGTCCATGGGGTCTCACAGAGTCGGACACGACTGAGTGACTGAACTGAACTGATAGTCCCAAAATGTAACAGCTAAACCTAGAAAACTATTAAGAGTGAAAAATAGGTAAATCTCTGTGAATTTGGATTAGGCAATTTTTAAATATATGACATCAAAAGCACAACAAACAAAAGGAGATATATTAATTAAAAATGGATATTGAGTTTCTCTTTTGTGAGAGTTAAAGTATTCTGAAATTAGATTGGGGTGCTAATTGTCCAATTCTAAGAATGTATTAAAGCCACTGAATTCTACACTTTAAATGGGTGAATTTTATAGCATGTGAATACCATCTCAATAAAAATGGCAAACTTAACCTGCTTTAACCTAACATTACCAGATTCCCAGGTGGTTCAGTATTAAAGAATCTGCCTGCCACACAGGTTCAATGCTTGGGTCAGGAAGATCCCCTGTAGAAGAAAATGGCAACCCACTCCAGTATCCTTGCCTGGAGAACTCCATGGACAGAGAAGTCTGATGAGCTACAGTCCAGGGGATTACAAAGAATCAGACACAACTTAGCGACTGAGCACACGCACACACAACCTAATATTACATTAATTGGGTCCCTGCCATCTGTCAGGAACTCTTCTGGGAACTTAATATGAATTGTTTCAATTAATCCTTCAAAATATCTGTGTCATAGAGGTACTGTTACTATGCCCATTTTGCAGGTGCATGAACTGAGGCTCAGATAAGTTAAATTATCCACAGTCATCCAATAACTATCAGAGCCATCACTTGAACTGAAAGCCCATCTAGATCCAGAGCCTGAGAGCTACTGGAGCCGGGGGATTGCCTTACTGTTCAGTAGTCACTTTTCAAGAGTTTACAGGTATAGGGCTTGGGGGACAAAGAGGAAAGCACTGTGTCTGCCCACGGGAAGCTCACAGGCTGGGAGGAGACAGGTATAATTACAGGGAACGATTAGGATATGCGACAGGAAGTGTGGAGTGACGAGCACTTTTCAGGGCTCAGGGCACACGGGGTAATCGCCCTCCCCAATGCCCCTCTGGATACATGGATTTATGACAGCACTGACACAGGCTTGGGTGGGGCCCCCCAAACCTCTTCTTCTCCTGTTTACTGTCAACCCACCTCATCTACCCTGCCACTCAGATAGGCTCCCTGGGAGTCACCCTAGATCCTCCCCCTACCCGATCTGAATCAACCCCCAGTCAGCTCTATCCCTTCTTCTTCCCAGCAGTATTTGGAGCCTGTTTACTGTGCTCCCAAGGCTTCCTGTAAAGAATCCACCTGCAAGGCAAGACAGGCTGGAGACTCAGGTTCCACCTCTGGGTGAAGATCCCCTGGAGGAGGAAATGGCAACTCACTCCAGTAGTCTTGCCTGGGAAATTCCGTGGACAGAAGAGCCTGGTGGGCTACAGTCAGTGGGGTAGCAAAGAGTTGGACAGGACTGAGCACACAGTTTACTGTGACTGGGAACACAGCAGAGAACATCCCCAGGAAAGCAGTTTCACCCTCCCGGGTGATCAGACTTGATTAGAACCCCATTCTCACTGCCGTGGATCACAGCAGGTAAGTGTGCACCAAGTGGGGTGTGAGAAAGGAAGTGAACAGAAGTATTTCAAGGCCACTGGTCCAAGAGAACCTTAAGGCCCTAGCTGATGGAGGCGTATACACAGAGAGCCATCAAGGAGACCGAAAGGTGAAGGGGTCCCTATCTAGAACATGGAGATGATTCCAGGAACAGGAGTGCAAGGGGCAAAGGTGTTGTGTAGTAAGGAATTTACCTGGCTTTTGTCCCTGCCTCCTGGGAGGAATCCTCTAAATCTTTGGAATGATATGAGTGTCTTTGTTACTTAGGATGGGTCCTGACAGTTTTGTGTAATTCCTGGGGAGTGTCAGGGTGCAGGCCTGTCAATGGTATGTCAATAGACCAACCATGTGATTGGACTGAGTTCAATAACCAGTGATCTAATCAATCCTGCTGATATGATGACACCCCAATAAAGACTCCAGGCATTGAAGATTATGTGACCTTTATGGTTGGCAATATACGTCTGTGCTCCTGGAGGGTGGTGTTCCTGAGTCCCCAGGGAGGGGCCAGGGTAGCTTCATGTCTGGGACCCTCGCAGACCTACACCCCATGAGCCTCCTCTTTTATTGCCATAATAAAAACTGCAATAGCAAGTATAGCTGAGTTTTGAGTTATTCTAGTGGATTATCAACCCTGAGAAGGTAATGGGAGCCCCTGACTTTGTAGCTATTTGGTGATGGGGTTGGGGACATGCTACCCCAAAACCTGGCACCTTGAATATTTTTTAAAAAACACTCTTTTAAAAAAATCTTTTAATTAACTTATTTTTAGATGCACTGTGTTTTGGTTGCTCTGCGAGGGTTTTCTCTAGTTGCAGCGAGTGAGGGCCGCTCTCTGGTTGCGATGTGAGGGCTTCTCATTACAGTGGGTTCTCTTGCTGTGGAGCACACACACAGTGACCTCATCTGTGCTTCTGAAGTTAAGCCCACGGTGCAGGGTAACAGGTATTGTGGAAACAGGAAAGTGGGTTTAGAAAGGTGTTTTCAACACAGAGAGTGCACCTAATGGGGTCTCTCCCCAGCTGTGCTGCCATTCCGAGTTTTCTCAGCTCAGCCAAGGTAGCATGACGTGTATTTGTTTGCAAGATTGTACTGTTGCAAAAAATCAGACAGGAGCGAGCCGGACCACTAGAACGGGCGGTTAAAATCACTTCTCTCCAAGCGGTGCTTGGCTCAGCCTCCTGAGACCCAAGGACAGGCTTGCTTCTGAAACAACGAAGATTCGAGAAATGGCAGCTCCGTTACACCACCAACTACAGTGTTTAAAGACTAACCAAAGCCATCCCCTAGTCTGGAAAGGACAGATGCTACGTGAAGCTAAAACGTCAACCACTGATGCAGAACTCTCAAGATGGCCCTTTACCAAGCATCTACACCAGTCTTTAAACATAGACTGCAAACAGACAGCCTGCAGATGAAACCCAACCTGCAAATATGATCTGCTAGCCGATCCAAGCTAACTAAATCCTGACTTAGCTAGCGAGATGCTGGCAGATTTCACATGAACGGCTGGGTTTCCTCACTCTCAGAAAAAAGTTATGAAATCTATTCCCCTGGAGTGACACTCAGCTGGAGCTAACTGCCGCCCTCTTCAGGTATACGGGTGCTCCCATCACGGCTCCCACCACGCCCAACACCCTGCCTGCTTCACCTGCTTTTGTTACCTGCCCGTCCCTTACGCCTGCTTTCCTGGCTCACTGAACACCCCTTCTCAGGCGCCACCATCACTTGCCCAGCGAGGCTCCTGGGCTGAGCCAGGTGAGAACCCTTCTTGTCTATGACCACTGTCTACAGAATCTACGACTGATCCATCAACAGATGAATGGATAACGATGCGTACATACATACAATGGACTATCACACATAAAAATGAAAGAAACTGGGTCATTTGTAATGATGTGGATGGACCTAGAGACCGTCATACAGAATGAAATCAGAAAGGGAAAAACAAATATCGTGTGTTAATGCATATAGATGGAATCTAGAAAGATGGCACAGCTGAACCTATCTGCAGGCAGGAATGGAGACGAAGATGTAGAGAGCGGACATGTAGAAATGGGGTGGGAAGGAGAGGGTGGGACGAGCTGGGCAGCAGCACTGACATATGTCACCACCATCTGGAAAACCTTGACAGCTAGTGGGAGGCAGCTGCAGAGCGCGGGGAGCTCCCCGGTGCTGCGGTGACCTAAGGGGCGGGATGGGAGGGTGGGAGGCTCAAGACAGAGGGGGTACATGTATACATAGAGCTGATTCACTTGGTGCAGCAGAAACGAACACAGCACTGCAAAGCAATTAAACTCCAATAATAATATTAAAAAATCTGGGACTGAACAAATCAAGCGGAAAGGCTTTGCTGAGCGATCCTGTGACTCCATGAGGAGGACAAAATCTGCTCCTGAATCCCTCTCTGAGCTAGATGACCATCACATTCTCTCCAACCACAGGAACCGTCCTGATAGATCAAGCACTTCATTGCTGGGTAAAAACCATGCCTGATCAGCGATCCTGGGCTTTAGCTCTCCTGGTCCTGGGCTCCTGTCGACTCGGAGGCAGGGAAGCTGCCCGCTGGCTTTTCCAGAGTGTGGCCAGAGTGGTGGGAAACAGATGCAAGCCTGCAGTAAAAGCCCCAAAGAGCGGTTTCTCCAACTCGTCACACCTGGCTCTTCTGGAGTCTGGCCCTGGTGAGAAGTCGGCAGAGTCCCTTAAACAAAGTGAAGAGCTCAGGGCAGACTGCCTGACCGTCTTCACTGGGCTCCTGACTGTGTGGCTTCCTCGTCTGCACCGTGGTCCCGACTTGGCATTTTTAAGCCCAGACGGCGCAGGGAGTTGACAAAGTAGCGAGGAGGCTTGCAGAGCAAGGTGAGCTCTTCCTTCCGGGGCTGCAGGGCTGGCAGGGTCAGCTGGCAGGCGTGCAGGTGCAGGGGGAGGTGGCGGGCCTTGGACTGCTGCAGCCCCAGCTTCTTCAGGATCCCAGCGGACAGCTTCTGCACAAAGGAAAGAGCTCATGAGAGCCAGGCTGGAAGCTTCTCTGACCAGCAGCCAGGGGCAGAAGACGTCTACTTGCAGGGCCCCATCACTGACCCCCCAGATGATACAGTGAGGGACAGCCTGCTTCGGGGTCTCTAGGAAGGGTTCAGAACCCATGTGACAGAAAACCCACCACACTGGGAAAGCTCTCTTTGGCCAGTTCTCTGGCTTTCCAAGAGAATGAGCTATAACAGTGAAAAACAAGTTTCCACCAAGGCTCTTTAGCAATAGCATGAAAGGCTGCTTTGAGCCTTCAGAAAGTCTCCTGTCTGCTTCTGAATTTCTCCCTAACCTAAAGAGCTAGCAGGAGGATTATTGTTGTTTAGTTGCTTAGTCGTGTCAAACTCTTTGTGACCTCATGGACTGTAGCCCGCCAGGCTTCTCTGTCCATGGGATTTTCCAGGGAAGAATACTGGAGTGGGTTGCCATGCCCTCCTCCAGGGGATCTTTCCGAACCAGGGATTGAACCCGCAAGCCCCACGTCTCCTGCATTGCAGGTGGATTCTTAGCTGCTGAGCCACCAGGGAAGCCCAGCTGGCAGGGTGCTGTGCCTGAAAACAATCAACACGCCTTTGCTGCAACTGACTTTAGGGATGCAACTTATTCTGTTGCATCACGGGTCAAAAAGATATTACCTGGGGGGCCAGCCTGTTCCAGTCTGAGTACTTGTGATCACCAAGGATTGGGCAATCCAACCCAAAAGACAGGTGAACGCGAAGCTGATGTTTTATTCCTTTAAAAAGAGGGAGGAGACTTATGAGTAGCTATAGAAACGATACCACTGGTGGCATCTGCTTCTAATCATATTAAATCAAAGCACAGTAAAACTGGCAAAATCCCAACTACAATGAAGTGTAAAGGATAATATAACAAATGATAAGCTATTAGGAAATAATACCGGTAAGCCTCTAAGTACCCCTCCCCATAACAGTTCCCTTTCCACCACACATAACCACTATAATCAACTTGAGGTCTATCGCTGCCATGCTTTTTTAAAAAATAACTTTACCGTATAACATTAAATAGTACTGTTTGGCACATTTATTTTTATATTATGGCAAAATATACATAACATTTGAACTTTTTTTAAAAACAGAATTTGAAAGTAGTTCATTAGGAATTCTCTCTTTCTTAAAAGGCGGCACAGCATGGCATGCAGGACCCAAGTTCCCCAATCAGGCATGGAATCTGCTCCTGCACTGGAAGCTCAAAGTCCTCACCACCAGACCACCAGGGCAGTCCCAAGGCTTACCATTTTAATCCTCTTTATGCATTCAGTTCAGAGGCATTAAGGACATTCACACGGTTGTGCAACCATCACCACTGTCCATCTCCAGAACCCTTCCGCCCCAAACTGAAACCCTGTCCCCGTAAACCATAACTCCCCATCCCCTCCTCCCTCCAGCCCCTGTAACCACCACTCTGCTATCTGTCTCTATGAACCTGACGACTCTAGGTATCTCACATAAGTGGAATCATACAGTGTGTGCCCTTTGTGCTGGGCTTGTTTAATTTAGCGTAATGTCTGTAAGGTTTGATCCAGCTGAAGCACATGTCAGAATCTCCTTCCTTTCTATGGCTGGGTAATATTTCACTGCATGAAGTACCACTGTGTCTTTCCAATGGTCTGCTGATGGAAATGTGGGTTGTATTCACCTTTTGGCTACTGTGTATGGCGCCGCTATGAACAGACATCTTTTTGAGGAACCCGTTTGCAAATGTTTAAATAAACGTAAGCAAACTGTCCATATCCTTATGCCACTGTTTTTCACAATCATCCCCATGGGAGCTCCCAGCCGTGGATCAGCACTGGAAGCACACTCTGGCACAACCTCAGCGCCCCCATAATACTGGGGGCTCAGAGGAAGGGCGGGGCCCAGCACGAGGCCCTGGGTGAAGCCCTGAGGGGCCCTGGGGCTCTGCCACCCGCTGCAGAACACCGGCGCTCTCACCGGTAACAGGCTGGAGCTCCAAGAGGGCGGCGGACAGGCTGCTGCTCAGCACCCGGTACTGAGTCACCGCCAGCTGCGCGTTCCGGCTGCTCCGAACCCTCACCATCTTCCCGTCGTCCATGCGGCAGCTCGGGGACAGCGTCATCTGCAGCCAAAGAAATCGAGACGTGACTTCAGAGGACGAGCAGAAAACCCGTCCCTCCAGAGGGGCTCACCCACCCACCTTGTGGTGATGCTGCTGGCCCTGCGCCTCCTTCTCCACGATGGGGATGTCCACGACTCCTGCTTCAGGCACTGGGACGCGCACGGTGACGGCCCTGGGGGGACACACAAACCCTGGCCTGAGCCGCAAAGGTGAGGGAAGCGCTCCCTGGTTATTTGGCTACTTAGAGGTTTTCATGCTGGCCTTTCTGCACTGCTACAGTCAGTGCTGAGGGTCAGAGGGCCCCAGATAATCTCTTGGTATAGCGCTCAGCCTGATAGCTATCACTAGCCTTACAAACCTTTTTTGCTACGAAAGTAAATATGCTGATTGTAGAATACTGGGGGTGGAAAAACAGGAAAACAAACAAACAAAATTATAGTAATAACATGGTCTTTTATCCAGCCTTTAAAAGCGAGTATGGGCAGTTTCATTTTAAAGGAGGGTAGTACAGTTTTGTATCTTGTCTTTTTTTTTTAAGGGATAAAAGATGATAAGTTCAAGTTGCATAGGAAACAAATGAATAAATAAAATGAACTGAATGAAAAATTCATAGGACTGCTACTGCTCTATTTGCCAGGTAGATAAAACAGGTAGGAAATGTGCTCCAAAAGTCACAGGAACCCCAAACACAGCTCAGTAACTCACTCCCAACCTCTCTTGTTGGAGGTCCATCACACCGCAGATAGGTAGAAGACTCTGATTTGTCCTTACGTTTAAACCTCCTCCAGGTCAATCAGCCTAACACAGAATCGCTGGCTCAGGAGTCAAAAGCCCTCTCAGATATAACATCTCACACTCTGGACACCCAGCTGCAGGTTGGTAGCAGTTTAGACTGCTATCTGATGCATTTTATCATACTTACACTGATTTATAACCACTAGATGATCCTTCCTAATGACCTAACGCTCCTGTTCAAAAACATTCAGCCAATAAATATTCACTGAACATAAACAGGCACTGATTTAGGCAGGCACTGGTTTTATATGGATGAATAAGACAAAAATCCCTATTGGTCAGACTTTCCTGGACACCCAGTGGTTAAGACTCCGTGCTTCCACTGCAGGGGGCATGGGTTCAAACCCTGGTTGGGAAAATTCCCTACGCCACACTGTGTACACCACATGCCACAGCCAAAAAACGGGGAAAAAAAAAATTCATGCTCTCAAAGAATCCCAAATCTAGTAAGAGAGGTTCAATAATTTACCTAAAGTCTCACACTGGTAAATAACACAGGTGAGAGCTGAACACAGATCTTTCTGAGCATTGAGCTACCATGCTAAACTCGTTCCACTACCTGTCATCTCTCATTGAGGTGATTCTTAAAACTTGATTCCTCATCAGAGTCATTTGTGGAGCTTTTTAAAGATACAGATACCTAAACCTCACACCCACCAGACTTATGAATCAGAACCTCTGTGGGTGGATCTCAAGCATATAGATTTTTTTTAAGGTTCCCAAGATAGCAAAGCAACTTCAAAATCTATAATACAAAAAGGACTAACATCCAAAATATGAAAAGAATGCTCACCAATCAAAAAGAAACACAGGCAAAAGAAAAAGTCTGTTCACAGAAAAGAAAACTCAAACCCCCGATAAACACACACAAAACCAGCCAACATCACTAGTTAACAGGGAAACAGAAAATAAAATATATATTTTTTACCCATCAGAGTGGCAAACCTTTTAAAAATGAATTGGTCAGGCATAATGGGAAGCGGATACTCATCACTGCTAGTGGGAATAAAAACTGACATCATCATTTTGGAGAGCAACTTGGGTAGTAACTATTCAAATTTTTAAAAGTGTGCACCCTTCAACCCAGCAATTCCATTTCTGGGCATGTGTCCTAAGGATATACTCACATATTCTTTGCAAGAGGCTTTGAAAAATGGAAAGCTACCTAAACATCAATAAGGAAGCTATGATATATCCACACAACAAATACATACAATAGAGCCATTGAAAAGGAGACAGCTCTAACGGTACAACACAAAAGGCCCTCCAAGTTATGCTGTCCAATTGAAAAAAACAGGTTGCAAAGCGATGCAAAATATGCTGCCATATAATCATCTGCTTATACATATCCCACATAACTCTACAAGTTTACACAAGACACTAGCAACAGTAACTGCTTCAGGAGCAGGAAACTGAGTAGATGGGGGATAGGAGTGGTTTCATTTTTGCTCATGTACCTTTCTTCTATTAAAAAACTAAGGATGGCAAAATTGAAAAAGACACATATATCCCACTGTTCACTGCAGCACTGTTCACAACAGCTAGAACATGGAAGCAACCTAGATGTCCATCGACAGATGAATGGATAAAGAAGTTGTGGTACATATACACAATGGAATGTTACTCAGCTATAAAAAGGAATGCATTTGAGTCAGTTCTGATGAGGTGGATGAACCTAGAGCCTATTATACAGAGTGAAGTAAGTCAGAAAGGGAAAGATAAATATCACACACTAACGCATATACACAGAATCTAAGAAGATGGCATCGAAGCATTTATTTGCAGGACAGCAATGGAGAAACAGACATAGAGAACAGACTTATGGATATGAGGAGAGGGTGGGAGAGGGTGAGATGGAAAGAGTAACATGGAAACTGACATTACCATGTGTAAAATAGAGAGCCAACAGGAATTTGCTGTATGGCTCAGGAAACTCAAACAGGGGCTCTGTATCAACCTAGAGGGTGGGATGGGGAGGGAGGTGGAAGGGAGGTTCAGGAGGGAGGGGAGAGATGTATACCTGTGGCTGATTCATGTTGAGGTTTGACAGAAAACAACAAAATTCTGTAAAGAATTATCCTTCAATTAAAAAATAAATAGATTATATATATTAAAAAAAAAACAAGACTGGGACTTCCCTGGTGGTCCTATGACAGGGGCCTGGGTTCGATCCCTGGTTAGGGCATTAGATCCCACATGCCACAATTCAGATTTCGTATGCTGCAACTGAAGATTCCACATGCTACAGTGAAGAACAAAGATCCCGCATACTGCAACTAAGACCCAGGGCAACCAAATAAATAAAAACTGAGGTAAATCTATATGCACCAACGTGGAAAGAGCCTACAGACGAAGAGTTAAGTCGGAAAAGTACAGTGTACTGTACAATGTAACACACACACACAGTGTACATATCTGTGCGCTCAGTCACTCCATCGTGTCCTGCTCTTTGCGACCCTGAGGACTGTAGCCCGCCATGCTCCTCTGTCCACGGGATTTCCTAGGCAAGAATACTGGAGTGGGTTGTTACTCCCTCCTCCAGTGGATCTTCCCAACTCACGGATGGAAGCTGCATCAGACATGTCCGTAAATAGGATGAATAAGCTCCACAGGAATAAAAACCAAACTACCCCAAGGGAAGGAACAAGAATAATAGAATGAGTGAATTCTCCGGGACTTTTTTTTTTTTGCTTTATCCTTGTTGTTTGACATTTTACCACAAGAATCAAACCATATTACTTGCATAATTAATTTTTAATAATTTTTATGTATAGCCATAATTAGGAACCACTCTACTATCAGACTCTAACAGTCTAAGCACTAAATCTATTTCCTATAATTTTTATATGTCTAGAGATCCTAATGTCAATCCCAAAGAAAGGCAATGCCGAAGAATGCTCAGACTACTACACAATTGCACTCATCCCACATGCTAGTCAAGTAAAGCTCAAAATTCTCCAAGCCAGGCTTCAGCAATACGTGAACCGTGAACTTCCAGATGTTCAAGCTGGTTTTAGAAAAGGCAAAAGAACCAGAGATCAAATTGCCAACATCCACTGGATCATCGAAAAAGCAAGAGAGTTCCAGAAAAACATCTATTTCTGCTTTATTGACTATGCCAAAGCCTTCGACTGTGTGGATCACAATAAACTGTGGAAAATTCTGAAAGAGCTGGGAATACCAGACCACCTGATTTGCCTCTTGAGAAACTTGTATGCAGGTCAGGAAGCAATAGTTAGAACTGGACATGGAACAACAGACTGGTTCCAAATAGGAAAAGGAGTACGTCAAGGCTTCTTGACAAGTATTGTCACCCTGCTTATTTAACTTATATGCAGAGTACATCATGAGAAACGCTGGGCTGGAAGAAGCACAAGCTGGAATCAAGATTGCCAGGAGAAATATCAATAACCTCAGATATGCAGATGACACCACCCTTATGGCAGAAAGTGAAGAGGAACTAAAAGCCTCTTGATGAAAGTGAAAGAGAGTGAAAAAGTTGGCTTAAAGCTCAACATTCAGAAAACTAAGATCATGGCATCTGGTCCCATCACTTCATGGCAAATAGATGGGAAAACAGTGGAAACAGTGTCAGACTTTATTTTTGGGGGCTCCAAAATCACTGCAGATGGTGACTTCAGCCATGAAATTAAAAGACACTTACTCCTTGGAAGGAAAGTTATGACCAACCTAGACAGCATATTAAAAAGCAGAGACATCACTTTGTCAACAAAGGTCCATCTAGTCAAGGCTATGGTTTTTCCAGTAGTCATGTACAGATGTGAGAGTTGGACTATAAAGAAAACTGAGCACCGAAGAATTGATGCTTTTGAACTGTGGTGTTGGAGACGACTCTTGAGAGTCCCTTGGACTGCAAGGAGATCCAACCAGTCCATCCTAAAGGAGATCAGTCCTGGGTGTTCATTGGAAGGACTGATGTTGAAGATGAAACTCAAATACTCTGGCCACCTGATGCGAAGAGCTGACTCATTTGAAAAGACTCTGATGCTGGGAAAGATTGAGGGCAGGAGGAGAAGGGGACGACAGAGGATGAGATGGTTGGATGGCATTACCGGCTCAATGGACATGGGTTTGGGTGGACTCCAGGAGTTGGTGATGGACAGGGAGGCCTGGCATGCTGTAGTTCATGGGGTAGCAAAGAGTCGGACATGAGTGAGCAACTGAACTGAACTGATCCTAAGACAGTGCCTTCTGTCACCAGGGATTCCTAATGCAAGAACAGCTGAATAAATGAAAGAGGGCCTACACCACCTCCACCACTATCAACAGGTTTCATACCAGTACTTCTTTGTCACCTGACGAGTTCTAAACAGCTCTTGAACTTGATGTGCCACTTCTTTTTCCCAAGCCAACACCATCACACCTGTGGTTTCCTTGTCCAGCCGATGGCACAGGTGCAGCGGCTTTGCCTTGTGGCCATGGAGTATCTTTGCCAGGATGGGCAGTACATCACTGATGCAGAGCTGGACCCCAGGGCCACCTGAGAAGGAGAGACCCAGAATCTGAGTGGCCATGGAAAGATCCCACCAAAGACCTCTATATGGGAAAAGCACATTACTGGATTAACAGCAGATGCTCTTGAGGGCAGCAAAACTGAAGTGTGGTTCAGGGACTAGCAACATGTCGGTACACCCAGGGAATCTGCCAGATAGGAATCTCAGGTTCCCCAACCCAGATAATGAATCAAACTCTGCATTTTAACAAAACACCCAAGTGACTCATATGCATAATAACATTTAAGAAACATGATCCCAGGGTATGTGGCTTTCTCCTCAGACATATACAATTTTTTAAAGGTACTTATGTACTCAAACTAAAATTAGCAACCAAAATGAGGAGGTCTGATATTTCACCATACAAACACAGGCTTGAAATCTTCCAAGTGAACCCTAGTGAGAAATGCGAGACCATAAGGCCCTCCTAAGGCATTACCGAGGAGCTGAAAGGATGGGCTTTGGGGTGACGCATTCTTGGGTACCACTTTATGGAGCCTCCTAACTAGCCATTGATCTTAGATAGATTACTTGCCCTTTTCAACTTTTAGTTTTCTTGTCTACAAAATGTAAATATCGGGATAATAATTATTTCTTGGGGAATGAAAAGGCAAAAAACTAATGGAAGGATCAAAAGACAAAAATATACACAAAGCACTAGGCAATGTCTAACTTAATTCCTTGTTTTCATGTACAACCATCTCCGTATCTCCCCCTAAAACATTTGTACTTCTAGCTAAAACATGCCTTTTCCTCCAGCAAAACCCCTTCCACAAATGCATTTTTTCCATCAGTCTTTCCTGACTCACTCCAGCTATCTCTGACAACTACACTTAACATTTATTAAAAAAAAAAATCAGGGTGTCCATTAAGGTCGAGGTGCCCTGAGGTTTTGCTAGGTATACACCAACACAGGTTATGTCCTTCTTCCCAATTTTGATGGAAAATAATTTGAAGACAGGAACTACACAGCCTTGGTCCTCTATAGCAACCCCTGGTGGAGGTTGGCACACAGCAAATTCCATTCTGCTGGCTGCCAGATGCTTGGAAGATGGGGACCGTCTTCTTTATCTCTGTGTCCTCTCTGGTGCCTTACATAGGTCAGTACCCTTACAAAAGTTAAATAACTCTGAAAGCAAAGCTTCAGAAAGCCCCAGGAGTAATGCCAGAGTTGCCCCTCCTTGTAACAGAAAGCAGCAGCGCCGCCCCGCCCCCCGCCACGTACTCCTCACCATGCACAGGGAGACCGTAGGGCTTATTGATGACCACAAGGTCCTTGTTCTGATGGACAATTCCCCTGCTCAGCGCCTTGGCCAGCACGTTGGGGTGGACGCGCTGCAGCTGCTCCGTGAACCGCACTAGTTCTCGCACTCTCCGCTGAACAGGGTTCGTGGGCGCCTACGGGGAGAGGAGGAGAGACAGGAAATGCCCGGCGAGGAGGTCTTTCACTAAATCTGGGTGAGAATTTGGGAAGGGAAAGCCTGTATCTCTACACTAGACGCGCGCCTTCCTCGAGTAATTTGAGAGCAGGGGAGCGTGTCTGTCTCACGTATCCAAGTAGGGCTTAAGACTGGGGTCGGCAGGAGCCAAAGACCCAGCCCACAGGAAGATCCCGCACCCTGCTGAGCTGTCCCCTTCGCTTTCTCCTAGTTCTCCCACCACAAGCCCTAGACATTTACCTGACAGGTGTCAGAGGACCCGCCTCCCTCCCTCCCTCACCCCAGTGAGCGCACTGCCTCTTGGGAGTTGTGGTCCTTCTGGACTCACCGGCTTCTTGGTCTTTTGTTGCTGTTTCTGGGCCCGGAGTCTCTCTGCTAATCTCTGAGCATCCAGGGGCCGAGAGGCAGCAGCAGCAGCAGCGGAACAAAGTGGCTTTGAGAAGAGGGTGAAGACACTCCCGAGACACTGCCCGGAGCCCCGGACCCAGAGGCCAGGCGCGATACAGCCGGACACCGCCATCTTGCGAGAAGGGCGGGACGAGACAAGGCCACGCCCAGAGGAGAGCAATGACAGGGCCAGCGGGAGGACGGGTGGGCGGGCCCTGAAAGCCACGTGGGGGGGGAGGGGCGGGGCGGGGCCCTGGGCGCGTCACGTGGGGGCGGGTGCGTACTGAGTGCGGCTGCGCCGGCCGGTAGCTGCAGCTGGAGCGGTGGCGTTTGGAGGAGACGCGGTGAGTGTGTGCGAAAGCCGGGTTGGGGCTGCGGAATGCCGGTGCCTCAAAGCTTTAACGTTTCTGCGGACCCAGGGTTTCCGTTCTCGGAGATCCCTGTCTCGAGAAACCGTTTTTCCCTTTGAGAGACGACCCCACTCAAAACCACCTCCCCGCCCCCGCGCCCGGTAGAGAGATGCCCCATGAACGCTCGCCCCAGAGCCGTCTTGAGGCGCCCACCCCGTCCTTCTTGCCCCGAGGGACGCGTCGCGTCCCTTCTCCTTTTCCTGTGGCTCGACCTTCGGAGATGCGGGATCAAGGGAAGCCTCTCCGCCCCTCACCTCCTGACTCCCAGCCTCTTTGTTTCACGTTATAACTAGTCCTTCTCTCCCAGGGGTGACGGGGAGCCCCTTCGGTTACCCAGGGGCCTATATTTCCTTCCTAGCGAGCACCTTGAGTTTCTTCTGCCTTCTTCAAGAATTCATTTCTTGGAGTCTCCTCCTTCAACTCCCCTCCCCCCCGCCACACACAGAGAGACAGACGGCTTCCAAAGAGAAGACAAAGTACAGAGCAGGAACCTTCCCTTCCCTTTTCTCCTTCCTTCATTTCCCCCTCCGCCGTTTGCAGTCTCTCCCTACCCTCTCCTTCTCTTACACGGTGCAGCGTTGGGACCCCCATTCCCAAACTGCCTGCGACTTCGCGAAGCCAGGACTTTCTGACTTAACTAAGGGGTGGCAGGGAAGAGGAACATCTGGTTGGGATGGTTATAAAAGTAGCTTGGGACACACCTGCCATTTGTTAAGGATGATGCCCTAGCCCTAAAGTGTTGTCAGAAAGCGAATGAGGCTGCGCTGACGATAGAGGAACCAGTTACTGCCAAGCATGAAGGCTGCCAGACGAGTTGGTGGAATTAGGCTTGTATGCTACCCCTCTAAAACGGATTGCATAAAACAGTGTTGAACAGGTAAGTGGAGCTAGCCTGCAGAAGACTTTCACCTGAAGAAGAGTTTGATCTAGATGTGAGTCTATGACCTAAGGAGTCTGTGAAGCTTCTGGAGCAGGAGGGCGACTCCTTGAAAGGTAGAAAGGAATCTGGCAGTTGAACGCAGGACTCATTGAAAAGGAGGGAGCTCTGAGAGCAGGGAGATCAGCTAGGATGCTGCAGTCTAGGTGGGCAGTAGTAAGGCTGTGCTTGGTTCAGTGGTCTTCTTCCCTACACCGTCCTGTTCTTTGAGTTTAAATTGATTTTGAGTTGTGCAGGTCAAGATGTATCAGTTGGCAGCTGCTGTTGAAGGGTTCATTCATTCATTTTTTTTTTTAAATCCCCCCCGTCTGGTGCAGTGCAGAGTAAACTCACAAATATCCCTGGACTGGGTGAGGTGCATCGTAGGTTTGTATTAGGTGTGTCTGAACATTTTGAATCATCTAATTTCTGTCCATTTTTAATCTAAAGAGTGGAGGAAGGAGTAGATGTATTTGTAAAGAGGGGAAAAGAAAGCCTGTGCATGTTTCTGTTATGAGAGGTGATGGTTATAAATGTGAAGAACTTCAAGGGAGACTGGGGAAACAGCCTTTGTCTCTCCTACTGTTTTTCCCCCACAGACTCACGGGAAAGACACATGTATAGAAGTTGAGAATTACCACCTTTTACTGATAATGCCGCAGCCTCAGTTTCTAATTTCAATAAACAGTCCCACATCACATGTTACGGATGTACTTGAAGCCTCCTTTCCAGGGACTCTAAAATTTGGACATCAGGACTTAAGTTTGTGTCGTTATGTTAATTACAAGCCTGTTTTAGGTGAAGGACTTCTATGATTTCGTGTGGAGGCCAGGGAACCTATTTCTGCCTTAACCTGTCCTTAATAATGTTCAAAACGTGACCCCTGTTCCTGCAGAATTTTCTTTGTGGCAGGAAACAAAATGAAGAACCAACTCAGATGTCATTGCCAGTGACTCAGACCTTGTGTTCTTGGGTTTCACGTTAACCCAAGCCATACACTATGGTGCCTAGGAATAAAAACACTGGTTCCCCCCCCCCCCCCCTGTTTTTTTTCTGGAGAAGGAACTTTTAGATTTTTCTTGTTGAACCTTTGTGAGAGAAATTTGAAGAGTTTTGTTTGCTTGATATCACAGTACAGCTTTAGCCAACATGGATACAGAAGTTTCTGTTTCCTTAATGTTTATCCTATGAGTCTAGGCACTTGCTGGTTATTGAAATAAAGTTGCTCTCAGGACACAAGAATTTATGCAGAGATACATATTGTCTTTTTCCTCTTCCTCATTCAGTTGATCCTGTCTTGGTAGCTCATTTTTCTGCTTCTCCACCAATCTCACATTCTCTTTTCGGTTGGGGCCTCTTTTGTCTGGACTGTTTTCTCGGTGCAAGGAGGGAAGTTTTATTAGTGATGTCTTCATTCTTACAGAGTACAAATATGGCTTCTATACATAGATCTTGATATACATATCATATGTGCCCCCCCATAACTATATAAAGAAGACCATGATAGTTTGCTTGTAAAAATATTTTCTATCCTGTGCAAGAATGATAAAGCCTCCTTTTTAATTCATAAATATTATCAGGAACTGACTAATAAAGGAGATTGTGTTTAAATATCACAAATTTAAGGTTAATTAGTGGCATGAGGTTAACTTCTGGTTCCTTGAACAGTGGTTTGCTAGTTGCAGATTAACCAGCGATTCAGTTTCCCTGCAAAGCAGGAAGTACTTGGAGATTGTTTTATGGTTTTAGAGAGATTCAAAGAGGCAATTAGGAAGAGGTCTCTGGAGGTGTCCTGGGAAGTGCAGTTGTTGGCAGCTGGGGACTGGCCCCAGTTCAGCTGCTTGTGAACATAAGTGAGTAATTTGAGCTTCAATTTATTGTCTTTTCGGAGTTCCCTGGTGGTCCAGTGGTTAAGACTCCACACTTCCAAGGCAGGGCTCCAGGTTTGATCCCTGGTCAGGGAACTGAGATCTCACTTGCCATGAGGTGCGATAAAAAATGTAAATAATAATAAAAGAAGATCCTTACCAGCTGTAAGCTCCTACTCTGTGAAGACTTTCCATCCACTGACACTTAAGTATGTCTCTTTCTTATCAAGTGGAATTTATGTCAGACTTACCTTGAATACGTTTAGCATTGGCACAGGGATTCAGGATTTTGCTCCTGTTCCCACAGTTTAACCTTACGGTCCTGAGCTAGCATTTATGTTCAGAGGTTTGCTTCATTGAATGCTGTTGGAATATACCTTCAGATTTCACAGGTTGGGTGTGGGAGGGAGTGCTGATAGGAAAAAAAAGAACGGAAACAATGGTATTGACCTATAACACGGTGTGTTAGTTCTTTTTTCTGTGCCAACATTTCAAAAAGAGATTACAATGTACCGTTGCCCCTTGTTACACGTTCATCCAGCTTTTGAGCAATGATCAGGACAGTTCGAGCTTAAGCCAGTACTTCCCAAACTTTATTTTCATATTGGCACCCCACTCCAGTACTCTTGCCTGGAAAATCCCATGGATGGAGGAGCCTGGTGGGCTGCAGTCCATGGGGTTGCAAAGAGTCGGATGCGACTGAGCGACTTCACTTTCACTTTTCACTTTCATGCATTGGAAAAGGAAATGGCAACCCACTCCAGTGTTCTTGCCTGGAGAATCCCAGGGACAGGGGAGCCTGGTGGGCTGCCGTCTGTGGGGTCGCACAGAGTCGGATGCGACTGAAGCGATTTAGCAGCAGCAGCAGTGTCATGTGGAAATTACTGTTGTGTCACTGAGGAAGAAGACAGCTGTCCTGGGAGCTGTGGCTGTCCTGTCCCCAGCTGGCCATACACAGGCAAGGAGGAGCTCCCCGCACTAAGGTCCATGCGAAGGGCAGCCTCACACATTCAAGGTCTTCGTCCCAAACTCTGCTTAACTCTCGAGTAATGGTGTCACTAGTTAGTTTTGTTCTGTTTTTAAACCAAAGCATGTTATATATTATCCCTCGAATCATCACCATTTTTACCTGACCGTATCTGTTTTGGGGGGTCTACATTCTCTTTACAATTATTATGTAAGTTTCAGTTGTACAGCATCATAATTCAACGTGTGTACACACTACCAAGTGATCACCGCCATTAGTCTGATGACCATCATTATTTTTGTTAAATCTGTCTGTAATATGTTCTGCATTCATGTGCCTTTGTGCTCTTGGCCCATTTAAAGGCCATATTTGGGGACTTCCCTGGTGGTCCAGTGGCTAACACTGTGCTCCTGATGCAGGGGGCTGGGGTTCTGGCCTTGGTTGGGGAACTAGATCCCACATGCTTCAGCTAAAGATCCTGCTTGTTGCCATGAAGATCGAAGATCCCACATGCTTCAAATAAGACTTAGCACAGCCAAATAAATAATAAATATTAAAAAAAAAATAGACCATAGTTGTCCTCAGAAAGTGGCCCGTTTTAAAGTGTATGAACGGGTAGTTAACTGATTAAGAGGTGGGGAATGCTTTTGTCATGATACTTTAACCTCATTAGATTATGGGTGGACTTGCTGTGGCTCTTTTGAGACAATAAGGAATTTCTTTAAGTAGCTTATTTTATGTTTTCATTATAAAAGTTTTATAGAAAATTGAAAATAAAAAAGTAGAGGAGGGAAAATCATTCATACTTACTATTTTCCAAATACTGTTAACATCATGGTTTTTCTTGCCTTTAAAAAAAAAATCATGCATTCTTTCTTAATTGTGGAAATTTTCAAACATTTGCATGATAGAAAAAACTCATAAACCTCATGTACCCATCAGTAACTTCTGGAGCCAACCAGCACCAGGCCA